CATGGGTTGTTGATAATTCACATATGTTGTGGGTAACTGTTGGTCCCAATTGATGTGTAAATGATTCACCTTAGGCTAGCTGAAATATCTTTTTTTTTCTAATGGAGGTGGGAATTGCCTTATTTGCTTGAGGACAAGCAAAAGCTTAAGTTTGGGGGAGTTGATAAGTAGGGATTTTGACCGCTTATTTGCTTTCTTTTACTTGCGTTTTAGCTAAAAAATGCTTAAAGTTATTCCTGGAAGCTAACGAAATGTGCTTACTTGCAGGAACATTGGGAAACGAGCCAAATAAGTCAAAATCAACTCATAAAAGGTCAAAAGTGAACAAGAGCCAAAACTGGGCAAAGAGGCCAGCAGTGCGGACCGCACAATTCTAGTGCGGCCGCAAAATGAAGTTCACAGAGGAGGTTTTTAGATAACTCAGACAGTGCGGACTGCATAAAAAATGTGCGGCCGCAGAAGGACAAATGCGGCCGCAATCATTATTATGCGGTCCGCAAGATTGAAGAATCATAGAGTTGATCAAATTCCATGAAGAGTGCGGACCGCAACACTTTTGTGCGGCCGCAGAATCCTAAGTGCGGCCACAACCAGTTTTATGCGGACCGCAAAAGACTTCAAGTTCCAACCCCATGTTCCCAAGTGTGCGGACCGCACTAGAATTGTGCAGCCGCAGTAGGAATTTTTGCGGTCCACATTAGAATTATGCGGCCGCATAACCTCCGTAGGGGCATTTTTGTCAGATATTTTCAGCTTAGCATAAATAAACTTTTTTTTATTTTCAGGTCAAGTTTAGTTTGGCAGAGGTGCACCTGAACATTTTTCTTTGCTTCTTTAAGTAATTTTGTAATAGATTGACTTCTTACCACTAGATTTTCTTTGTTTCATCTATAATTGTGCATTCTACCTTAATTTCTTCTTGTATTTCTTCATTTTCTATGAGTAGCTAGATCTTTAGCTAGGATTGTGACCCAACCCTAGTGTGGGTACTTAATGGGTATTTAGTTTTAGGGCTTGTTTGTGATTGGGTTAGTGATATCAAGCCTTGTTTATGCTTAAATTATAGAATTAATGGTTGCAAACATTGATTCATGCCTTTTTGACCTAGTCTTTGATGGAGAAAGAGAGACTAGGTTTAGAAAAACTCGGCTAGCAAGGAATTGGGATGAATGCAAGAAATTGATAGCCCCAATTAAAGGGTCAAATCTAGAGATGGTAAGACCCGACTTGAGCATATATCACTTGATTTGTGCAAATACCCATTTGGCCACACAACCTCCGCAGGGGCATTCTTGTCAAATATTTTTAGCTTAGTATAAATAGAACTTTTTGTCCTTTTTAGGTTAAGTTTAGTTTTGGGGAGGGCACCTGAGTCGTTTTCTTTACTGTTTTGAGTAATATTGTATTAGATTAACTTCTAAACATTAGATTTTCTTTCTCTAATCAATTATTATGGATTCTATCTTAATTTCTTCTTTAGTTTCTTAATTTTTCATGAGTAGCTAAATTTCTAGCTAGGGTTGTGGCCAGTGGGTACTTAATGGGTGTTTGATTTGGGGCTTGTTTGTAATTGGGTTAGTGATATTTAGCCTTGTTCATGCTTGAATTCAAGAATTAATGGTTGCAAACATTTATTCATGTCTATTTAACTTAGTCTCTACTTGAGAAAGAGAGACTAAGTCTAGGAAAACTTGGCTAACAAGAAATTGGGGTGAACTCAAGAAATTGATAGCCCCAATTAAAGGGTCAAATCTAGAGATAGTAAGACCCGACTTGAGCATATATCACTTGTTTTGTGCAATACCCATTTGGACTTGAGAAAGCAAATTGGGCACAATCACTCAAACTACCGAGAGGTATAGAGTGGGTAATTGCGTGTTATTGCTATATTACAATCCCCCCTAATCAAACTTGCCCTAGAGTTTACAAGCTGTTAGGTAACCATCTAGGTGGAAGTCACGACCCTAGATCTTTTATCATTTGAAAAACAACCAAATCCAAAAATATTGTCTCCTAGTTTCATATTTGCAATCAATAGGTTGAAGTGGAAGTAAAAATAACAAACAAGAATGTGGAAGTGTAATTTGAGGCACATCATACAATTGCACTAAATATATACTTAATCCCAATTCTAACTTCTTAAGGATTCGACCCCGGCTCGCGTTGGGTTTTTATTATTGCTTCGACCGCCTCACTACCTATATTTGTGGTGTGAGTTTGGGCGACATCAGTGCCAATCATTGTAACTACTTTAGCATGTTACTAATAGCCATGAGTGATTCGGCAATGCAGTGCATGTCTAGGAAAGCAGTTGATTTAGAATGGAAAGATTCTAGTAGAAAGGGAAGACAACTAAAAATTTAGTAATTTAACTTGTATTCATAGGTCGACCATTATATTTACCATGAGGGTATCAAATGTAATTATGGATACAAAGTTAAATATGAACTCGAGTTCATCTCTTTCGAGGTTGAGGGATCAGATAATAGGTACTGGAGTAGCGAGTAATATCTGGGATATAGAGAGTAATAAGATCCTCATGTTAGTAATGAATCATTTCCGAATGTGACCGTATTTCTACATAGAGCTTTATAATAACCTTAATAGGTTTGAAATATTTTATAGCTCTTGATGCTCGTAGGTCGTACGAACTATTTGTCTGTATGAATAACGTGTGCTATTGGCATGATATTGGTTTGAGTACAACCCACCATGAGCGAAGTGGGAGATGTTCGATTTATTTTCAATTTGGGTCGCGGGCCGCTCCATGTGGGCTGACCCGACCCATTTATGAATGGATAAGATTAAATAACCTCTTATGAGAAGTTACTCCACTTGTTGAATTTGTGGGAGCATATTCTACACGGTTATTTTTTGGGTGGGAACAGTTTTCTTCATAACTGCTTTCTTCCTTAAAATAGGTACTCTTCAAAGATACAAGAAAAACACAGAGAACTCATCTCCTTTCTTCTCACATGAAATACACAGAGGAAACTTAGTTTGTGGAATTAAAAATTCTATTTCCAAAGTGATATAGAATCGATGTAGAGCACTTTCTATCACACAAATTTCAACGATCTTCTATTGCTATTAACAGGTACACAAATTCGATGTCCCTGTTACTATTAGATCTTCAATTGTTCATTCCTCTGATTTTTTATAGCCTTGCCGGCCTAAGATATTACATAACGGTATTCAGTTAGCTTTGTCTGCCTAATAAGTCATTATATTCAGATTACACGAGTTTAGTTTGTACGCTTCTCAAGTAAGACACCGGATGCCGGCCTCGCCTCCCGAATTTGGGGCGTGACACTTGGATGCACGTAAGGAAAATCCCTCAGATGATTTGTGTCACGTTTCATGAAGAAGAGAGATGTGGACGACAGCCTTTTCCCAAATTATGTTACGTATTGCTCTTCTTGCCGGCGGGGACATTTCTTATGTGGCTTTAAGTTCGTTCTTCTGGCTAGTCATGACCAATCCACGCGTAGAAAAGAAGATCATTAATGAAATGTCAATTGTTTTAATGGAAACCCGCGGAGAGGAGAGGATGATGAATCGAAGAGCCATTGGTTTTTGATGAAGCTGATATAGACTCTTCTGTGAAAGCAGCATTGGCTGAAACCATACGTTTGTATCCTTATGTACCAGAGGATTTCAAATATGTCGTTTCCAATGATGTTCTGCCTGATGGCACTTATTACGTTCCTGCTGGTTCAACGGTTACTTAATTATTCTATTTACTATGTGGGGAAAAAGAAGAATATTTGGGGAGAGGATTGCTTGGAGTTTAAGCAGGAGAGATGGTTATAGATCGGAGGGGACCGGTTCGAACCGCTAAAGGATGGGTATAAGTTTGTGGCGTTCAACGGAGGACCTATAACTTGCTTACCTGCAAATGAAATAGTATGTAGTTATCGCTGCACTGCTTCGGTACCGGCTGTCACTGGTTTCCGGTCGCGTGGTTGAACAGAATATGCCATTAACACTACTCATGAAAAACGAGCTTAAAGGGCGCCATGTGTGCTTGAAAATAGTAATAGGGGCATATAATTGTCCTTTACTTTTAAAGGGTGTGGTTGCCCAAAAGTGTATGGTGAAAGGGTAATTTTTTGCCATTTGATTTGTATTTTCTTTGCTCTATTTTTCAATGTATGTTGATCTGTTTGGTCACTTTGAGATTGAAAATGATTACTTTACAACAATGTATATTTGAACGGGAAATTAGTATGGCAAAACTCAAAAGTATACTCTCGACTAATACCGTTACAATAATATTGCTGATATACTTCATATGTTCCCGATATTCAGAAAATAATTGAAGTCTATATTTTTCATTACTCCATAACTAATGAGTTTAACTTTTACACATTCATAGTCTAAAATAGATTCATACTGCCAAGTGTCCACGAACAGTTTAAATAAATCAACTCACTTGCTACAACATATTAAAATACACGATGGTAGAGAAATTACACTGTTCTGAACATGGACAACTCCAATAATGCTTATGGGCCAATTATTTGGACCGAGGCTAGCCAAGTTGTTGGGCCGAGGGCTAAACTGCGAAAAGGCCAAGGAATTAGACAGCCCAACAAGAGATTTGCTTGGGATCCAGGTTGAGTAGGGAAGCACGTGACGAATGGATAAAAGGGGTTCATCGACAGTTTTGAGAATTATGCAAAATGTTATGAAGTATCTGGATTTCCTCATCCCCTTTGTCTGAGTTCTGCTTCTCATCCCCGTTCTTATCTCTATCCTTAGTTACTTGTTATTTCAATAGTTTTCATTGTAATTCATTAGTTTGAGTGTTGCAATTGATATCTCAAAGTTGTAATCAGTGTTCTTATCAATATAGTGAGGAAGTTCTGTATTGTTACATTCTTTGTGAGTTCCCAGTTAATTGGAGAGAAGTATGGAAAGAAAAAAGTCGGTTCTCCATTGGTCCTAAAGGAGTTTATTAAAATACTTGTAATAGAATTACTGACTACCACGCAACAAGCCAAAAATTGGTTAGTGGAATTAAATACGTCGGTTCATAATTCTTACCCAACGCAAGAAAATATAGAAACTGTTTTAGGTATATACTACTAGTGCAGAATTTGATTAGTAACTTTACACAGATTTACAAGCTATGTCAGTAATGTATTCTTCTTCATTTGGTTGTTGCATCAGGTGAAATATAGTCTGGTATAGTCGTGGAAATCTTGGAATCTCCTGGTCTAATCAACCCAGTGTCGAAAAGAGTTGTGTTCCCCATTGTTGTCTTCTGGCATGCCAAAAGTAATCCCACCTATTCTCGACTAAATCGGTCTAAAACTCCTTTCAACTCGAATAGTCACGCCTTCGTGATTGCAGCTAACGTCCAGCATAACTCGAAGGGCTTAAGTTGCTGCCTCCATGGAAATCACTTAGAAGTGTCAGTCAATAATCTTCTCACCAGTCGAAAAGGCATTCCAAACTAGAGTTCCAACCAAGTAAAGCCCAACTGAAACCTTAAAGACATCATCCCAAGAACCTGAGGAGCCAGACAACATAAAATAAATTTATTAAATGCACACATGCTTTTGAAGGGCGAAATGTCATTATTAGGTTTCAAAGACTCTAAACACTGTTCTAGCATGACAGCAGATGAAGTGCAGTTGAAGAGCCCTACTGAACAAACTTGACACTGCAACACGATTAAGATCATTCTGTAGCTTCTGAAAGAGCTAATGCTTTGGGTAAACTATGTTTCTAAGATGGTAGTCTTGATCAGCTGAAAGCAACTCTACTCATTAATGACAAGAACAGGTGAAACTCAAATAATCTAATTTTCACCAAGCATATCACCTAAATAATTGATTGTTGAATGTATAATTTACAGATAGTTTAAAGATAATCACTCTTAAAGAATTAATATATGTTATATAGTTCCAAAAGTGATTCTATCGTGTAAACCATAAGCAATTATTATTTAAAGCGTTGGTTTACTAAAAAGAAATTTTTGAAATCAGTGAAATTAAAACCAGAAAGCCCATAATCTGTTTACCCCCACACAGTGACATCTTAGAAGTTCTTGGTAGTACGGTGGACAAAAAGGTCAAACTATCATAGGTCATTCCCACTGGCACTACAGCCATAAATAAAGAATATAGTCCATCAATTTTGAAGCACAGGTAGCCCAAAATTATCCGAGACTAAAATGTGAAGGATGAACGATACCATGTTGCAAGATGTAACCAGTTGTTGCTGTGCCAAAAACACCAGCCAGCACCCCAGCAGTATTAGATAGTCCAAGTAGTACTCCCTGCAAACATATCATACATTACTCATGTTACCCACAGTATGATATACTATTTATACTAGTGTGCACCAATAACACATCATAAACAATCCCTTCTTCAGAACATAAGGTAAGTCAAATGGTTACTCCCATGTAGTGGTGGCAAATGGACGGGTTGGGTCGGATTTGGGCGGGTCAAAAATAGGTTGGGTCTCAACCCGCCCATATTTCATAAAAAGAAAATACTCATTTTGTTAAAATGAAAGAAAATACTTATTCTACATCATTTTGTTGAAATGAAAGAAAATATTTGTTTTACATCATGAAAAGAAAATACTCATTTTGTTAAAATGAAAGAAAATACTTTTTCTACATCATTTTGTTGAAATGAAAGAAAATATTTTTCTACATCATGAAAAGAAAGTACTTTTTTTGTTGAAATGGAAGAAAATATTGTTTTCACATCATGAAAAGAAAATACTCATTTTGTTGAAAAAAAAAAAAGTACTCTATCTACAACATGAAAGAATGAACTCTTAATAATATTTCTATTTAGGGTGGGATGGGGTGGGGGTAGGTGTGGGGTGGGGGTGAGTGTAAAACTATACAAATTTGCTTCTACTTCTTAAACTATTTTTGGTATTCAAGCATGCATCTAGAAAGAACAAGAACGCTAAACAATAGTAAACAATACTTACATTGTTAGAAGGAAAAAAAAAAATACACACACAGTCAACTATAGTGAGAAGAAACTTACGAAGGAAGAAGAGTTGGAATACCTTTATAGCATTTTCAGTTTAAAAATATCATGTATTTTGAGTGAGCAAAAATTGGAAGATAACCTACTAGGCTAACCAATATTTTACCCACATTTTACCCATGAATACCCATATTTCTATGGGTTGAAACCCAAATTTACCCAACTTAAATATCACTCATCCAACCCACTAAAATATGAGCGAATTGGGCGGGTTGACAAAATATGGGCTCATTTTGCCAGCACTACTCCCGGATATTGTTTAAAGCTCATTGGACATTAAGAAAGACCAACAAGAAGGAGAAAGACGAAAAGGTAATACTCACAGAATACCGTGGAGCTATATCCTGATGGTTTGAATACAAACCAGATTGTGAAAACGCATCACTTCCCTGTTTCAAGAATGAAAAAGATGTCAAGGGTGGCAGCATTTAAGCTGAAGCAAGAAGAGATTACATGCCATCAACTACAACTAATATTGACGGAAATCTGAACAACGCAATATTATTAATTCAACTTTTTCAATATTTCCTCCTTGTTAGCACTACTCTATCCATTCACATGAAACAGAACATTCCACAGTGTTAACTCATAAGCAGGCTGACAGATGGTATTTCCTAAAGACTAGATGGAGAAGAGGGGGATCTATGGCATCATTTCACATGTCGTACTAGTTATATATCACCAGTTTTCTTCCCTTTTTAAAAAAAAAAATAAAGCACATCACCAGTTTTCAGTTTTCACAGTTGAAGAATATCAAACGGTTGCTGGAATCATTATAGTTGTTCAATATAAGAAGACAAACCTGACTGCATGACATACATAGAACTGCCATTGCAGGAGAGTCAACATGGCTCAACTGGGTTAAAAAGAAAGCAGGTCCAAGAAATCCTATTGTTTGCATAATCTGCAACAATGATCAAAAAAATTCAAAAAAGCTGGTCTTAACATTTTAGATAGGTGAATTTCTTTATTTATACAGCCACTGCTATTTCAAAAACTGGTAAGGAGATAACACATTGACTTTAGCATAGGAAGGCCATATACTAAATATGGCAGCATTTTAAGACTAGGAAGCCATGCAAATAAAACTAAATTATTGGAGTCAAAATTATCTTCTCTATCTGAGGGCAGCCACGTAAAGTTGAACAGGCAGACAATAGTGTGTCACGACTCTAAATAAGAATAATTGTGCTCAGAGGTATGAGGTATCCTTAGAAAACAAATAAAATAGGGTATTGAGCATCTCAAGATCTACACCGAACACTGAAGTGCAATAACATCAACCAACAATTGTTATGGTGGAGTAGTAAATACTCCTTCATCCTTAACCAGAGGTCTCGAGTTCGAACCCTAGGTATAATGTTGCCTTTGTTAGAGCGCTTAGCCCCCAAGTGGGACTTCCAGGCGTGAATCCAAATTTAGTCGGGCCACAATGCGGGTACCGGATACCAGGTGGATAACCAGATAAAAAATGAAAGAAGTGCAATGACATCAATAAAGGTGTGTAGTACCTTTCTGACTACAGTCACTGATACGCCTTTCCTCACCAGGGAATCTGCAATCCACCCACCAACATTTGCAGAGATTGCCATTGTGAGCCATGGCAAGACAGCATAAAGTCCTGATTCTGTGAGATTAAACTTTAATACCTGCAGTAGACATGTTTACCCTGGAATCCGGATAACAATTGAATTTATATGGGGTTTTAAGGATCCGTGAACTAAAAGATACAAAAGGTTTGGATTGAGGAAAATAAAAGATAAAGACTCAACAGTTCCTGCTAAAGTAAATAATCGCAGAATATAATATTGCTTAGAACAATTGTGCTTGATAGCGTACAAGAATTGAGAGAGATGGTACCGTAGTGTAATGGTTTTCGATCCCCTCTTTATGGGGTCTTTTCCCCTTTTATACATTCTGATTAAGGGTAAAAATAAGGTAGGTAAATTAATTACATCGTGGATCCCTGTAATTACGCCTTAATGGCCTGAAGTGGTTGAGAAAATCACGTTTGGGCGAGATATCCGGCGACGCTTGGTTATCCGTTACGAGTCCGGCTTCCGACCTTGTGTGTTTCTCCATCCGGTGGTGACTCATATCGAGCTCTGCAACGGTCTCGAAATGACTCGACCTCGGTTGTTGACGTGGCCGTCGTTCTACCTTGCATCCAGGTCGGGTTCGATGGCCCCGACTTGCCCCGGACCGGACCCAACCCGGTCGGGCTCAAGCAAAAAGGGTATCACCCAATACAGATAGTCCCCTCGTTTATTAGAGAGTAATGATAATAAACGATATGATCGGTGACGTGATGCCCGTGACGTATGGCCATACGCCAGCTGAAAAAGCCATCGAGTGCTCTGACCACGTCTGCTGCAGGCATTTAATGCTTCTCTTAATTATCTGTCGCTTCGTGTCTGTAACTTCGCGATTCGTGCCGCCGCCTCATGGGAAAAGTATAAACGACCCTTCCAGGTTCAACATTTCTTATCTTTCTCAAATTTTGCGTTGGTTGTATTTTCTTTTCATCTCTTCGTAAAGCTTCAAGACATGGCGAAAACTTCACAAAGTGTTCCTTCTAGACCAAGCTCGTCTGCGAGCCCCGCTAGATCTGATGAACCTGCGCCAGAACCCCATTGAAAGCTTTTACACCGACTGGTTGCTTGGTATCTGCCGACTTCCAGGTTGAGAACCCATCATCGGTCCCGGGCCGCGCGAACCGGCATCGGAGTATATCAGCCTAATCACTCCCGGTTGCCTAGACCGGGTGAGGGCTGAATGTAGATGGGAAGGGAAAGACCTGGTCGCCCCTTCCCGTGACGAGTCGATTATGACTCACGTTGAAGGGTATCTTAGTGTATATACATATCCCTTCACCTTAGGCCCCTTAGAACCCATTATAGTGGAGTTCTGCCGGCGGTACGAGGTGACTTAGGTCAGGTCCACCCCTCGATGTGGCGGATCGTATATCTCTTTTCGGTTTTTTGTCGAGAAGAGTCGAGGGCGATTTTCCCTTTACCCTCGACCATCTTCTTCGATTATACAGCCCTCGAATATTTCGAGGGGGATTAAATAAAACTGGCCCCGCCGGGCTTAGCAAACCCCCATTCTCCAGCATCGATGAAGACAAAGATCGAGGCTGGATGAGCAGGTTTGTCCGGATCAGGACGTCCGACCTGATTCCGGCTGATTGCATGCCATTTCCGGAGAGGTGGAACCTCAAACGTAAGTATTTTCTCACTGTTCATCTTTTAGAGTGGTTTTCCTCAACTTCTCCCTTTTCTTGTGCAGCGGTGACCCAAACTCCAGTTGCCATCAAGGATCTGGCCGGCTGGGTAAACAAGATAGTGGCCCAGCAGCCATATTCGGAGCGAAACTGAAGGAAATCTCCAAAGGTCGGTGGGAGGCGAAAAACCATGGTAAGCCTTCTTTTTTGACGCGTAGCGCACCAAGTTAACGCATTTTTTCTTGTATATCGGGAATGCATCATAACCCTCGTGTTTTGCAGGCTTGCCAAGGACGCGGAGATGAGGTCTTCAATACTATGCCCCCCTTCCCGGTTCGGGAGAAAATAAAAGGCCCGGGAGTCCGGTACGGACGAGCCCCAAAGAAAGATTAAGCGGACAAAAGGGCCGCCCGCAAACTAAAAAAGCCAAATCGTCTTGTCCTCCGAGGAGGAGGACGACAAAAGAGGATGACGATGAGGAGCAGCCGGAGCTCGTCCGCCATCGATCCATTCGACCGGACCCCGAGCCGGTGGTCGATCCAGCTGAGGCTCCTCCGAGGACGTGAGGGTTGAGGATGCTGGTGAACCCTCGGCCCCTGCGCGGGCGTCCCGGGTACCGGATCACCCGTTACGTCCCCCCCGTCTTCCTCGACTTGGGGGCAGCTGCCGGACGACATCCCGATGATGGGAGGTAGTCTTCGAGACCTTTTTTGATGGGGTACCCTCCGCCAACACTTTCGGGCTCGAAACCCCCCGGAAAGACCCTCAGGCCGAATCAAGTGGGACTTCGGCCGTCGACAAGGCTTGTCGATAGGTTTCCAGCTCCGAGCCTGGACCCGGACTGTAACAGGATAGTAACTTTTGCTATCCCCAAAGACGTCCGGGCTCTGGGTCCCCCGGTCGGGGTGCAAAGCTATCTTCATCACCTGATGACGGAGGAAGACCGGGCTGCAACCGAGGCTGTAGATTGGACATGCCTTTTCAACGAAGCCCAACAGGCGCAGCTCAAGGTACTGCTTCTTCCTTTATTTCTAATATTTTTGCCTTGTGATTCAGTACTGATCTTTTAGACTTTTTCTTTGACGGCATCGGTGCTATATCACTCGATGTTCCTCGGATCAAGGACAAAATGGAGACGGAGCGGAAAGGGGCGCCGGGACCTTGAAGAAAAGCTACTAGAAAGCCGGACCGGATTGGACCTTTTGACCAAAAGAGCACGCCGTCCTGTGGGCTATCCGGCTGGAGGAAGCGAGAAAGAGCTTGGTATAAGCTAAGGGGGGTGCAAGCCAGCTTAATCGGGTTAAGGCCGAGCTTGACGAGAGCAGAGCCGAACTTGATGAGACAAAGCCGAACTGGAAGCCCGGGTGCAACAGTTGGAGTCGGAGAAGACTTCCCTTCGGAAAGAGGTTGCGGACTTGACGTTGGCCAATGAGGCTCGAGTCCTTGAAATTGAGCTATGGACCAATCGATTTCAGGAAGCTGAGGCTAAAGTTTCCCAAGCCGAGGAGACTGCCAACGATCTGGTGGCCCAATATAGGGCCGATGCTGATGCGGCCAACCAGCAGTCAAGAATGTTAGCCGAATATGCGAAGTGTCAGGCCCGGCTTGAAGTTCTTACCGAACTCCAACGTCGCGGTTTCGATCTTGCATCGGACGTCACCAAAGCCGCCGAAGCTGAGGACGCTTCGAGAAGGGCGACGTTCCCCGAAGAATTCGAGGATGGCTCTGATTGACTCCGGGAATAGGCTATGCTTTGTTTTGTTTTCCCCTCTTATGTAATTGCTCTGGTAGCGAGACGGAGTCTTATATAAAAGAACCTTCGGAGGACCACTCGCCATATGCCTTGGCCCCGGAGACACAGAGTACGTATTAAGGGAAATCCACGAAGGGTCATGTGGCAACCATTCGGGCGCGGATGCGTTGGTCCGAAAAATAATTCGAGCTGGATACTACTGGGTCAACATGGAACAGGATGCAAGGGAATTTGTACGAAGATGCGACAGGTGTCAAAGGCATGCGCCATTCATCCATCAGCCTGCTGAGCTGCTGCATTCGGTCATCTCCCCATGGCCTTTCATGAAAATGGGGAATGGACATAGTGGCCCGCTTCCTCGAGCTCCAGGTAAGGCTCAATTTATTCTTTTGGTTACTGACTATTTCTCCAAATGGGTTGAAGCGCAGGCTTACGAAAAGGTTCGAGAGAAAGAAGTAATCGACTTCCTTTGGGACCACGTCGTGTGTCGGTTCGGGATGCCTTCCGAAATAGTAATGTGACAATGGGAAACAGTTCGTTGGGAGCAAGGTATCAAAATTCTTCGAGGATAACAAGATCAAGGAGGGTATTGTCAACCCCGTACCATCCCACCCGGAAACGGGCAGGCTGAGTCGACCAACAAGACCATCGTTCAGAACCTAAAGAAAAGGTTACAAGACGCAAAGGAAAATGGAGAGAAATGCTGCCCGAAATCCTATGGGCCTACGGACAACCGAAAGGACTAGTACCGGTGCACTCTTTTCCTTTTGGTTTACGGAGCCGAGGCCTTGATCCCAGTCGAGGTAGGGCGAACCCAGCGCTAGATTCCGGTATGCAACCGAGGTTACCAACCAAGAAGCAATGCTCACCAGCTTGATCTTTTAGACGAAAGGAGAGAGGCCGCACTATGTTAGGATGGCAGCTCAGAAACAAAAGATCGAGAGATATTATAACCGAAGGGCTCGTCTTCGACCAACTTCAATATAGGGGAACTTGGTACTAAGAAAGGTCACCCTCAACACTCGAGACCCTAACGAAGGGAAATTAGGACCGAACTGGGAAGGCCCTTTACACCATTTTGAAGGTAAACCGGAAAGGGTTCGTACAAGTTAGGAAACGATGGATGGGAAAAGAACTACCCCAATAACTGGGAAATATAGGCCACTTGAAGAGATACTACTGCTAAAGGTAAGTCCTTCTTTCTTCTTCGCTTCCCATAAATTTTTTGAGACTTGTCCGATCCTAACCCGTGCAGGTCGATGATCGGTCGCTAAAGACAAGTTCGGACCATCGGAGAGACTGAAAGCACGAGCTGCATCTTTTTTTCCTTCGACCGTTTTGTCCCAAACTCGGGTTTTTCCGGCAAGGTTTTTAAACGAGCAGCAAGAACATCGTGCTACTACAAAGGTATCTAAGGGTAAATCATTGTATACTAGATCACCCTCCGAAGAAGGGAAGGTCAATAAGAATAAATGTAGGGTCAAACGGCCAAAGCGAGCCCGTGCCCACTAGCCTGACCTAATCCGCCCGGATCAGTATGATGTATTGACTATTACTGGCAATAGCAAAGAATATCTGATGCATATTCACATCAATACCTAAAGATTTTGTTCGACTCTTCGGTATGCTTTCGAAGTCCGATCTCATAAGACCTCCTCGAGGCATATTCGATCTCATAAGACCTCCTCGAGGCATATCGATCTTCATAAGACCTCCTCGAGGCATATTCGATCTCATAAGACGTCCTCGAGGC